GTCCATAAGAGACCACTACGGTCCATAAGAGACCACCACGGTCTATAAGAGACCACCACGGTCCATAAGAGACCACCACGGTCCATAAGAGACCACTACGGTCCATAAGAGACCACCACGGTCTATAAGAGACCACCACGGTCCATAAGAGACCACCACGGTCCATAGAAGACCACCACGGTCCATAGAAGACCACCACGGTCCACTCACTTGACCAGGTCTATCCTGTTGTTGATGGCAGCCCAGTGGAGCAGCGTGACGTTTTCCTTATCTGGCTGCCGAACATCGAACCCTGCCTCCACCAGCTCCCGGCAGCGTTCGAAGATGCCGTACCTGAGGACGACGACAAGCATCGATCAGACGTGGAACCAAACAATCAACACAACTAAACAAAGTTCATTGATTATAATTCAGCCACTGACATCAACAGACCCTGATCTAAAGGAAACGTCACCAACACTCACTGTGTGGCTTTGACAATGTCCCAGGTGCTGTAGTCGTCCACATGGTTCTTACGACTGACGTTTTCAGTGTAGCTGTGGTTGTAGTGACTCTGAGGCTTGATTTCCTGGAGGATAAAAAACAAAACAAACATGAACAAAGACTCAGTGAAAGTGACTGAATAATGAAGACGTTTATGAAGCAGGTGGAGGAACAGGACGGCAGCGGTGACTTCCTGCTGCTGACCTGTTACACTGATGCATTAATAGGTCAGTGGTCAAATAGTGGTGACTGTACGCTGAACACTCAATTAGCCGCCATGCTAACGTCAACGAAACCACAATTAGGAGTCGTCACCCAGAAACCAACTCCTCACGCTGGCTTCAACCTCAGAAAATATAGGTTTAAACACAGTAAATATATGTTTAAATTCAGTAAATATATATTTAAACTCAGTCAATATATGTTTAAACTCAATTAATATAAGTTTTAACACAGTAAATATATGTTCAAAATCAGTAAATATATGTTTAAACTCAGTGAATATATGTTCAACCTCAGTGAATATATGTTCAGACTGAGAGAATATGTTTTAAGTTGGTAAATATATGTTCAAACTCAGTAAATATATGTTGAGACTCAGTGAATATATGTTCATAATCAGTGAATATATGTTTAAACTCAGAGAATATATGTTTTAATTCAGTAAATATACTGAGAATATATGTTTTAATTCAGTAAATATACTGTATGTTCAGACTCAGTGAAAATATATGTTCAAAATCAGTGAATATGTTTAAACTCAGTGAATATGTTTTAATTCAGTAAATATATGTTCAGACTCAGTGGATATATGTTTAAACTCAGTATATGTTTTAATTCAGTAAATATATGTTCAAAATCAGTAAATATATGTTTAAACTCAGTGAATATAAGTTTTAACAGAGCAAATATATGTTCAACCTCAGTAAATATTAAATTATCTGTCTCTCGGGGCTTTTATTGTGAAGGGAAATGTTTGCCACTAGAGATAACTGTAATGAACGTTTTGTGGTAAACTCTTGTTCTTCTGCACAGGTTTTCTTCAAACAGCAGCTTTAATGTAAACACCACCGCTGGTGGACTGTGGTGTTTACATTAAAGGACAGGACTGTCCTGTCCCCAAGACCAACTGCTGTGACGTCATAGCTCTGTAACAGACTCAGTCCTCTGTAGGTTTCATTCATCTTCTATCAACACAGTCCTGTTGTTACAGACAACCACTGACCTAATCCTCTATGATCCTGGACTGTGGGAGGAAATGCAGAAAGAGCAGCAGGTATAAACCAGTATCACAATGTAGCTTCAAACAGTGTAAAGTTAATAATAGTATAAAGTGAAGCACTGAGTGAAAACGTTTATATTAATGTATATTTACAAACAAAAACAAATCTCAGATACCAAGTGTCTGATGGATTCAAACTGCAGACCAGGTTTGACATTCATCTGATAATTCAGCTGATTTATCCTGATAACAAACGGATGACAGTTATTATCACTACAGTGTTTATCACATCACACCGTGACAATAACAGTGTTTACCAGCTGAGGTGAAACCACAGAGAAAAACAAAACAAAAACCATAATAAAAACATCTGTGATAGTATTTTAATTCCCGTTTATTGGTAGAAATAAGATACAAAATTAAGTTTGACTCACGGGACAGTTCCGTGCTCACGTTACTGACACAGGTCTGTGATCTACAGATACTGACATTACGACAGTCCACTGACATTTATTCATTTTAATAATTTAGCGTCGCTGCATGAAACAAAACAACAACACCTTCAAAGACGACCGGGACAACAACTGACAAATGACAGGATGAAAACTGACATGGGCCAATAACGTAAATCGAGTCGACGAGTCGTAAAGAAACAACGGTCTGTGATGAAAGCGAAACGGTTTTGTGGTTTAGTTCTGTTTTTGTTTTTTTAATGTGTGGCTGGTTACCATGTTAACACAGACAGGACACCGAAGATCACTGTAGGCTTTCACATTTGACACCAGTGTACATCACCGCAGCTCAGCCTGCACTTAGCCTTAAAGCTAACATCATCGTACTGCAAAGATTAATCACTGGCGGCGCTTCCCCGACCATTAATGACTTGATTGCGCCGCCGACAATCGTGTGCTTATGCATCACGGTGTTACTCTTAGGGCAAATACCACCGAGCTTAACGACAACAGCCATGAACATCTGCCAAACGCTTGCCTGCTATGCAGCAGGAGGCGGAGGGGGCGGTGGGGTGCTAGCGTTAGCCACATTAGCTTGGCTAGCTGCCTGACGCCCCCAATGGCTAAAAAGCAGAGAGGCATCCGAGTTCCCCCCCTAAAACAACACCGCAGAAACACGGGTACACGTCCACACGCGGACGGGCTGAGCCGTGTTAACTGAACATTCACGTGTTTATGCGTCGACATGCTGTACAGTAACCGTACCTCGGGATGGAGAATAGGGACGCAGCCAGCTTCTTTCTCGTATTCCTCCATTGCCTCGGCCATCTTGGTGGTGAATTTCGCAGAGCATTGTGGGAAACGGGAGGCTGCGTAGTAGAAACAAACAGGAGAGGGAGAGAAGTCGAGGATGGAAGAGGAGGACTGTCAAAAAAACACAGATGATTTACAGATGATTTACAGATGCACAAAATGTTACACATCTATACAACAGGCTAGGTATTTGCTAATGCTAATGCTAATGCACGAGACAAACAAGCTAAATAAGCTAAATGTGTTTGGTCTTTGTTTATTTAGTTATATTTACAGTATGTACAGGGTAACATGTTCATTCAAACACATTTTAATCCCATTCCAAACAACCACGACCTGTGGTCCAGACGGAGTCCGTAGTTTGAGCCCCATGTTGATATAAGTCACGTGATCAGATCAGAATCCAAATCAAATCAACATCTGGAACCTGACATGGAGGTTGTTCCAAAAGTCTAAGGATTAGACAAAGACTTTTCGTATATAGATATATATATTAATGATGATCATTTACTGGTTGTGAAAAATATATTCTTATTATATTAGAGATCTGTCTTTTAAGGTGCAAATATTTCACAAAGGTCAAGTCTGAGCATCAAGGTCATGGTCATCTACTTCTCTACTGTTAGCTACTTTGGTCAACTACTGCATTAAGTGGAAGGTACAGAACCCCTAAAACACATGTTTCAAACACAAGGCCCGGGGGTCAAATGTGGCCCACCAAGATGCTTTGTGTGGCCCACAGGTGCTTAAAATGTATTTAATAAAGTCAATGTAGCAGAGTTTTTTAACCTGAGAAATTAAATGTTTTTTTTTTATCGCAAAGCAATGAACAATATTTGTAGCTTTGATAAATTAAAAATCAATTACAGAAACACATATTAATCCTTTATAGAGAAGTTACATCTATACCAGCGGTCCACAACCCTTTTTTTGTTCCAAGGACTGGTCAGCCAGTACTACCTGTCACTACAGACTGGTAACAAGGTGCTGTGCTATGAAGGATCATTAAATCTTTCAAAATAAAACATCTTTTAGACTCTGTTCTGTTTGTATCAGAGTCTGAATGACATATTATTTTAATAATATTGCAAGATTATCTTTAAATAAAGAAAGTAAATGGATATGACTGGATTTTCTTTGAGAGAAGTGAATTAGTAAAAACGAAGTGCATTTTTTCACTGTTTCTCACTGTGGCCCGGTACCAAATGACCGATGGACTGGTACTGGTCCACGGACCAGGAGTTGGAACCCCTGATCTATACAGTCTTCCATTTATAAGCGGCCCTTCAAGGGGAACTGTATTTCTGATATGACCCCTGGTGAAAATGAGTTTGACACCCCCTGCCCTAAAGGGACATGAGGGGAAATAAGTTTCTGGTGCTCACCTGTAAGTTTCAGATGAGCAGGTGAGGAACGATTTTTTATTTTTTCCCTTTTATTATGTCCCTTTTGGGGCTCCGTAGAACGGTGAGGGTTGTAGAAAAAGTAATAGTAAATAATGTCCAGGTTAGAGGGATGGATGCTGGGAGTTTATTTACATGTGATCCCAACACGTACAGTACATCTGTTAGCCGCTGGGTGTCACTCTTTATCCAGAGAACCAAAAATACTGAAATTATCACAGGGAAATGTTTTAATTGAAATGATTTACATTCAGGAGATTGTTAATTTCTATGAAGATGGATGAGATCGTCTCACACCTGGTCGATAGGTGTGTTTTGTTGTAATGTGGAGACTTTGATTAATACACGGCAGCGACAAACAGTGCAGTTGAAATATTTTAATTTGCTGTTGTGGAAAATTAAGTAGCAGATTATATTTGTAATTTAATATCAAAAGCAGACAGATTATTACTTACCTTTCTTGTTTTCGACTTAATTTAAATTTGAAATAAAAAAAAAACAAAAACATTTATATCACACAACGAACGTAACGTCCAGCAGGTGGCGCAGATGTTCAGTTTTCTGAGGGGGCTTGACTGCAGAACTTGTTTTTACTGAGGTGACTCAGACATTAAAACTATTTCAGATCTTTAGTTATTTTCCCATCAGTTGTTGATATAGTGTTTATTTGAAGAATAATCGACTTGTTCTGTTTGAGTTCCGGGGTAACGATGGTGTTTACACGATGACACAGAGTGAAGAAACAATGATGTGAACTGATGAAAACACAGGAAATGTGGTTATGGTGGTGAATTTTGTCATCGCTGTGACCAACCGAGAAAACTGAGTTAGACACAGAGGTAACAAAGGCGGAAGTCTCCTGTCTGTGTCGGGTTAAACCACCGTAGATTATAAAACAGGATATCGAGGATTTGAATTTCAAAATAAATGTTGGATCGATGACAGGATACCGCAGTACGACAGGATCCTGGGCCACACACGCCCCGCCGTCCACTTTGTAATGACTCAATGAAAGGTCGTTATAAATTGTATTTACATTAATAACATCCTGTCTGATACAGTCAGAATGAATGCTGTTAAGTTCCAGAGCGTGCAGCTAGTTAGTTTAGCAGTCAACCTTACACTAAGTAGATCGATTAGTCGACGCAGGTCACCAAGATATTAGGAAATAAAAATTAGGAATTAAACACCCAAATACTGACTGTACACAAATCAGTATTTGGGTTTACGTAATTATATATCAGTGCATTATGACTAAAATCTTTCACAATTTGTTCAAAAAAATTAACTGCTTTTATTTTGACGCTTCAAACAGGAACTCTTGCTCATTACCGTTCCATTGACGTCTGTCATTTCAAACCGCTGACAGTTTCGTGGAGCAGTGCTAGTGGCTAACAAGTGAACACAGCATCGCGGATAAATCCAGGGGAGAAATAAATAATCGACGTTGCGGAATTTTTGTTTAGAAAAACATAAAATTCCGTGGACTTTTAGACCGGGATAAGAGGCAACAGTTTGTGAAGAATGGACTGACCACCGCTGGTTAACATTTGTACGTCGTCAGCTAACGTTAGCCGAGCAGCAGCGTCGCTGAGGGCTGACCAAATATTGACACCCAGTGTTCTCTCCTCGTGAAGCGGCGCAGCTGTGGACAGTCAGGGTAAGTGCCACGCAAGCGGTCCAGTCACGTAAATGACAAAAGAGTGTGTGGTGTTAAATAGCAGTTAGCCATTTAAGCTACATCATCTCTGCGTCTGACAGCAGTGACTGTGATGGAGTTTATTATTATTATGTAATAAAGCAGCGTTAGCGCCTGTAGCTTCCACGCAGCATCACACGGAAGGTCAACATATGGGACAGCGGTCCACGAGTGGTTCAGGTGCACACTGACAAAACCAGACATGTCTGTGGACAAATACAGACGCTTATGACAATCATGTCAGGTTTTTTTAATCCTTTGCAAATAATTAGGACTTGATGATGTTTAGCAGTTGGAAAAAAAGAGTGAAAGAAAACCAAGGTATGAAGGAGAGGCTCGGTTCAGACCCAGATGTTGGAGATCTCTGAAATCTCTGACATCGTTTTCTGCTGCAATTTGAAAAAAAATAAAAAAATAAAAAAGCAGTGGATTGTTGTCGATGTACAGCCTTATGGAACAGCTGTATTGGTGCTATTTTTAGCCTGGATGTCACCATGGCCATGAGCTGTGTTTGTGTGAAACGGGTGCACCGTGGTTTTGGTCTGTGGATGATGTGAAACTGTCCAAATGAACCACCAGTCATTCAGTTTAAATCAGAAATTCAACAGGAAGCTATGACTTTACCACCAGTGTTCTCCCAGATGGAGATAGCGGTTCTTCTGAGCCGTCACCCACGGAGAGAAATGTGGACAACAGTGGTGTAACTCACCACACAACCAACAGACATGACCTTTACAGACAGGTTTGGTCCACGGTGCATTACAGAAGACAGGTGTAACAGGGCTGTCACGCCGGTGTTGTGGAGGAGGTGTATGCCCCCCCCCCCCTCGTCTGCGGCTCCTTCAGTGTTACTGGTGCTCCGTTACCACTTTCACCCGACAAAGTGCCAGGTGAAATAAGACCCCGTTTGTCACACTGAGCTGTTCCTGACCGTGTTCGACAAGTAACGCGTCCGGTGGGTTATTTTACACCTGGTGTCGGCCCGTCACGGTATCTCTCTGTGATTTTATCAACTTCACTCTCTTCTGCCAGCTGACTACTCTGTGGATTTGTTCAGACGCCTGATTAGGTTTCTTAATTAAAACTAAGTCGAATTCTTCTTTAAGTAAATTGTTTTTTCTTTCCTTTGACAGATTTGAAAATGTGACAGATATGAAAGTGTTTTTTCTTTCCTTTGACAGATTTGATAATGTGACAGATATCGGTTATTGGATCATTTTTGGCCATTAACACCAGAAAATGATGAGTTATCGATGATCGTTGAAAAAGTCTATATCACATGTTTCTGTTATTGTTCCTTTCTTTGGACTGATGTAACAGGCAGGTCCAATCAGATCATTCGCTTTAACTTCCTGTCCTCTCAGTCACTTTTCCGTCCAATCAGATTCCTCTCATGTGACGATGACCACAGAGGTCCAGAGGAACTCCTTCATGAACGATGTTTCTATTCAATAACTGCAGTAAAAAATACTTCAAGAACCCGGGTTATAAACACGTACTTGTCCTTTTTCAGCTGGAGAAATCTATCCATCACACATCAGTGAGTTCAATAATAAACCCATTCATCTAACAGCCATCCGCGGCCTCGTGGGTCCACGCCCCTTCAGTTGAATCTTTTTCCTTCAACAACCTTTGATCTTCTTGACCTGTCAGATTCAATGATTGGTCAACACTGGTTCTTCTTCTGTCCAGTGATGTAGACGTATTTACCTGCTGACGGTCACCGCGGGCGTCCAGCTCGTTTGTCATTCAAATGCCTTTTCAGGAACCACAGTTTGCTCCACCTACAGCTCCATCATGGGACTACAATCAGAGACGTGAATCAGTGAGTCATCGTCGTCAGACTGGAGTGGAACTGGGAGAAGAAAAGAAAATATAAATACACTAGAAAATCACTATGTTTTTGTTTAGTTTTTACCGTACTGACATTCTGGTTCTGTGAAGGCAGCAGTTTGGGTCATGACAGGAGAAGAAGGGTTTTAGTTTGAAGAGTTCAAAGAGTGAACACAACAGTAACAACAGTGTGTGTTCACAGCTGCACAGCAGCCCCCCCCCCCCCCCACTCCCCCCTCCCCCATTGGT